GTGCTAGAACAGCATCAAAATTCTCTTCCACTAAACCAAATGAAGCACTAACCTGCGTGTGCGCGCATGCCTGGGATGAAGTATCAGAAAGCAAACGAAATTATTTTTATCTGAAAGGGAAAACTTTTCCAGTGACCTGTTCCAGACTGGTCCAAAATACAGTCAATATTTTCAATGCCTTCACTACTGCTCTGTACTTAATATATTGTTCTTAGTAGAGACAAATGTTTTGGGTTTTTGCCTCCCTAGTTCACCGATTTTCAGGTTAAGATTGAATAACTTATTGCTAAGCAAATGATTGTTACTGAAGCCCAACAAGTCACATGGGGTCTTGCAGGTAAGAATGGAGGAAGCATTCAGGGACTAGAGCTGCACAAATGGCTGGACTTTCCACCCCAACACTCCTTTAAGTAGGCCCAGAGCTAGGAAATATCATAAGAACAGGAAAAGATAAACACTTAGCAGATCCTCAGGCAAAGCATCCAGGAGATCATGCATCAACACATTAGAGAGTGCAGAAAACATTTCTGAAAGATCCAGCTGGCCTGGTCCAGTATTTTTAGGGTATCTGGATAAAGGTAAGGTTTACTTGCCTGCCCAGAAAACTAGAAATCAAGTTTTAATCCTGGCTCTGACACCAACTCTCTCGTGCCACTGGCTCACTGCTGAAACTTTCTGCTCTATTTTTCACACTCCAACGTGAAAATAATAGCAATTCCACAAGCAGGATTAAGCAATATTGGCAAAATAGGTGTATTATGACACCTTTGAGGCCCCTGACCCAGACCTCCAGGCTGGCACATCTCTATTTAAACCATCCCAGACAAATATTTACCTAATACACTGCAAAGGATTTAAAATTTCCCCCTGCTTGGAGGTCCCTGCAGAGGACTGCTTTAAGCCAGAAAGGCAGATGACAGCAGCAGCACATACCTAGATACATCGACAGTTATTTTACTAGATCACAACAGTCTGAGCATTACAAGTGGCTCCAGGACACTGGCTAAACGGTTCAGTTGTCTAACAGAGCCCACGTTAATGTTTGCGGTTCCAGAATTCGTGAAGATTTTCCCCTTGTAAGCTGAACAGAACAAATGGGGTGGGGGGAATGATATTTTTCTCAAACACAAAACAGCAAGGAAGTGATATAGGAGCAGTCCAGTAAATGTATGGTCACAGTTATCATAAAACAAAGTTTTATTTATGAAATACAGCAATTGCTGATCACCAGTAAGGGAAAGGTAAACATTATTCACAATGTTATGAATCAGAGAGCTCTATAAAGGATTCTGCACACTTGAGCAGAACTTTAGATAGATAAAGTAGCCACCCATCAGCTTTTTACAACAGCAAGTACCCAAGTCCAAACGTCCCAATTTATGACATAAATTCTAGTTAGAAACACTTTGCAGAAGAGTAATATTGTCCCCTTTTAACATGATCCGACCTGCAAGACAGAGAGAGAAGGTGGTCAGGAGTGGCATGGCCTGAGAACAAGGATACCTGGAAAAGCATTTCACAGAGGAGACTAATAGCAGAAAATTTTGCAGAACAAAGTCCACAAAACAAGTACCTCGTCTTTCTACTGACTGGCAAAACAACAGGCTACGGTTCAGATCGCAAATGTTTCTGTTACAGCAAACTGAGCTAATATACAGGCGTACTACTACTGCATGCTTCACAGGGCTCCATGCCTGTAAGCCTGTGGTACTCATCTCTCTGCAGTATACGATCTAAAAGTACAATTCACTGTATCGGTGCACATGAACACCATCCGCAGCTAGTACATCAATTTCCTCCTGTATAACGGAGTGTGCTGCAATAAAAGGCACCCCAGCTACCCCTGCACACCCCCGATTCATTGTTTACCTTTGGCACCTGGCAAGCAGTGAATATCAACTACAAGCAAACAGCGAGAGTCATGGTTCCGTGCCCTGACTCTGGAAACGCACACTTGAAAGAGTAAGACAGAGAGCTGGAGGGTCTCAGGACTGAGATAAATGTGGCAGAGATCAGATAGGGTTTCTCGGGCCATCCTAGTAACAAAGAGGAGGCAGAGAAGCACAAGATATTTACCTGCCTCTTTAAGGTTTTAGACTAGTTTCTGGACTTCTTGTGCATATCTAATGGGATACTTATCAGATCTCTGACCCCAGCACTGTTATTCTATAGCAAATAGCAAAAACAAGCATCTTCACAGCAGCCTTTGCTGGACTTCAGCCCAAGCTTCTAATATGTCTGCATTTAAATTGCTGCCCCACACAAGGCTTATCTGGACAGGTTTGGGGCCCATCATTTAAACCGTGTAAACGTACCCAGCTGTTTCCTTGACTTTGTTTTGGAGTGAATCTCCTCCGCATCATCCAGCACTAGGTTCATGTATTCATCAAACCCCTAAAAACCAGCAACAAAATCAGTTAGTCGCCTAACTCCCCTGGTGTTAAATCCAACTCCCCTGCCCTTACTGAGGGCAGAACCAACTGCAATCGCCTTCTCTTACAGGAGCACAGACTTATTAAGTGGAAATGGCTGAGGCCGCTGCTTCAGACAGTGCTGAACACTGCCTTTAGGACTAGTATCTGTCTCTGTTTACATTTGGGAGCTGCAAACAGAACTTGCAAGTTCAGAAAAGCAAGAGACTCAGGAACATCCTGGCACTTACAATGATGCATCCTTCTATTCGCATGTTCACCTGCTCATAAAGCCACACCTGGATCCTGGACCGCTGTAAAATGAGAAGCAAAGAGAGACAGTAGAGTGTCAGCACATGTATTCCAAGTGATTTTCTGTTATCCGTTGCTGTCCACTCAAAATCTACCTTTGCCCCTGGCCAAACTGGCTTTTAAATAGTATCCATCACTCCATAATAGCAGGCATGTCACACTGTGTTTTACAAAAAGGGCGGGGGAAGGTATCCCCAGCTACCAAACACTTCTAAGCACATAGAGAAATGAGTCTTAAGAAGCACCCATGTGCATCACTGCACCCTTGCCTTCAAGATGGTACCCTTAGGAAATAATAACACTGCTTAACGTAACAGCAAAGCGTTAATTTCAGAACCCAAGTTCATTGTGGGGCAGGAAGGCCATCACCTCTGGAACAGTTCTGTTTAGCTAAAGGCAAGTTTTTTCTCAAGTGATGAAAACTCATGTGTGGGCCCCCACATGTGTTTCAGAATATCTGCAATAATCTTGCAGAAGCAAAATCAAACCCTGAGGGGTCATCGCAAGGAAGCTTTTGGTGATGAGGATACACGTTAGTGACGATCAGACGCTGCACAGGCAGATGTGTTGCCATCCCTTCTGTCAACACAGCACAAAGCCGCCGACCTAGGCCAGGACCAATTTCCTTCTATCGGAGGGAGATCAGGGTCCAATCCCCTACAGTTGCAGGCCCACCTGAAGGGAAGCACTGGGGGGGATGCCTTGCACCCCACACCCCACCTGCAAAGGCTCCTAACAGAGCAGCCACCTCCAGGACTGCTGCAGGGACAGTTCACAGCACAGCAGAGATACAAGCTGAAGACCCCGAGTCCAGACACGTGCTGAAAAGGCCCTGGGACAAGCTGCTCCCAGGGACCCCAGTCCCAGCTGGCCCTTGAGCTTTCCACTTTCAGCCTAGTACAAGCAGGCTCTGCCTCCTGCCCCATGGCCCCGGGCAGCCCGTGGGCTCCTTCTCCAGTGCCTCTCTCCAGGGCCCCGCTCCAGACATGAAGCAGCAACACCACCCACACTACTATGAGCAGCTCCGGGCCAACTTGCCCCTCCCGGCCCCCCAAAGCCGCGCGCGGGGCCAGAACCGTCACTTACGTTCTGCAGGTATCGGAAGATCAGGTTCTATTGCAGGCAGTTAAGGAACAGCGCGGAGGCAGCGTGGGCCGACCTGAGCTGGGGCAGGCATGGGTAGACACCACCCCCCCAAGGTTCCCCACCTATTGCCAGGCAACCCCCCCAGGTTTCCCCCCAAATTGCCAGACAACCGCCCTCCCCAGGATTCCCCCCCCACCCATTGCCAAGCAACGCCCCCACAAAAACCAGGCAAGCACATCTCCCCAGGAACCC